CTGTTTTTGTAGATCCAGCAGCTGTCAGCAGTCGTCTCTAGTCAAGACTTGGCTTTTAGATGGATTGGAGGGCGAGAGGAGGTCATTGATTTCTAGGAGCCCATGTGGCCAGGGCCAGAGGTTGGCCATTAGTTCTAACCCCACCCTTCACCACCCTAGGCATAGGAGCAAACATGAAAGCAGCCATGCCCAGTGCTACCCTTGAGCCCTAGGATGAAAACAGTTACAATGGAAACAATGGTAGGAAATTAAAAAGCATTATTGTCCTCTTTCAGGCTGTATTCATTCCCTATTGCTGCCGTAACAAATTATGATGAACTTAGTGGCTTAAAACAACACAAATTCATTATATTACAGTTTCGGAGGTCAGAAGTCTGAAATGAGTCCCACTGGACTAAAATCAAGGTGTTGGCAGGAATACATTCCTTCTGGAGGCTCTAGGGAAAAATCTGTTTCTTTGCCTTTTCCAGCTTCTAAACACTGCCAGCATTCCTTGACTCATGATCCCTTCTTCCATCTTCAAAGCTGACAGTACCAGGCTGAGTCCTTCTCAGACTGCTGTCTCTCTGGTTCTTTTACTCTACCTCCCTCTTCCACTTATAAGGACCCTCGTGATGACATTGGCCCACCCAAATAATCCAGGAGACTCTCCCCATCTCAGTCAGCTGATTAGCAACCTTACTTCTGTCCGCAAACCTTAGTTACCCTTTGATATGTAATATAACATATTCACCAGTTCTGAGGATCAGGACATGGACATCTTTGGGGGTGGGAGGAATTATTCTACCTACCACACAGGGCTAAGAAGAGGGTCTCCGTCCTAGGAGCAAAAGTGTCAACATCACATGGGAGATGGCCCATGAGTACATGATTGTGAGGCTGAGGCCCCGTTTAGGTGTTTTAAAGTTAGAATGGATGTTGGCATTTTCAAATTATTTTTTTTGACCATAGCTCTAATATTGCTTTAGTCTGATATTGTATCATTTTAATAAACCCACTCAGCAGCTAATCAGCTCATCCCTTTAGGTGCCATAGGCTGAAGGTTGTATTTTTTTTCTTGTATTTTCCCCTTTCTCCCTATACCCCACCAAAGTGAAGCCTACTCTGCACTACACTGCCTCAGGGGAGGTATATAGCCTGATAGAGGGAGGAGAGAGAGGACTGTGGGTTCCTGTACCCTGCTTCCTAGTGATGCCCTTAGAAGCTGGTGATTCCGCAGAGTGGAATGGCCCCTCCTCCCTGGTTCATCCAGAAACGTTAGGACTCCCAGCTGTCTGGCAGATCTCCTCAGCTTCCCACAGATGCAGCAATGGACTGGGGACAATGAATGGCTTAGTGGCAACTTACATACTATAGACAATCGATAACCAGATGGGACTCCCTTAGATGTCTGACACTGTGGAAGGTTCCAAGACCTAGTTCCTAGCCTCAGGGAGGCAGGAACTGCAAGAATGACTCAGATAGAATTTCCCCAACACTGCCAAGATGGGGTGCAGAATTGAAATTAAGTTGATTTAGAAAAACAATAAAGAGAGGCAATATTTACTGCATACCTAGATTTATGGTCTGGGACTGATAACAAGAAAGAAACACACCTTTCAATCTGCCGAGGAGCTCAGGCACAGTGGGAGAGAAGGCAGAAGGGAGCCCTGTGGTTACATGGGAAATCACATGCTTAAAATGAAGCTTTTGATTTTCTTTATCCACAATCGGAGAATATGCCCCTTCGTGGGGCAGTTTATATGAAATAGCATTATAGGAAGACAGAATGGAAAATAGTTGGAGTGATCAAAAGAACATCGCCGACATAAATTGGCCAGCCTTTTGAGAGAGCAATTGGGCAGTATCTAGTAAACAGGTGCATCCTCTATGATTCAGCAACCCCAATAGCATAAGTACTCCAAAATATATGTACAAGGATGTTCTCAAGTAGATTTCCTCCTCTGTAGCCTTCTTCCTGGGGCTCAAGCTGGCATCTCTCACCTGGCCCACTGGGACAGCCTCCTATCTGATTTTCCTGTGCTTAGTCTTGCCTCTCTATGGAAAGACTGCTCAGAATACAAACCTAATCATCAAAAACTCATCATCACTCAAAACTCCTCAATGCTTTTCTCCACTGCCCTCTGCATATAGGCCGATGCTCTGAGCTTGCCACACAAGGCTCCATGACCTGGTTCCTTAACAATGACACCATTTTCCAAGCATGCTGCAAAGTTCACCAGACAGGCCGACAGGCTCCCTTCTGTGCCGCTGTGCATGCTGTTCCCATCTGCTCTGCCCTAACTCAGTTGCTTCCTTATCCATCAGGAAGCTCTTCCTTCAGAAGCTAGCCTTAAACGCCCAATGCAGTAGTAGTTGCTTCTCCTGTAGGCTCCCACAATACAGCATGCACCAGGATAGAAGAGAAAGTAGGACATTGGATTGTAATTTTAAAAACAATTCTTTCTCCTCCACTGATGAGTTATTTGAAGGTACAGGCTATGCTTGTTATCTCTATATTTCTGCCACTTTGTAAGATTCTCAATAGTTCTCTCCAAGGATATGGTTTCAGGCACACGGAGCTCCTCATTCTCCCCGACTACCTCTTCTAGTCTCAGTTACCTCAGGCTTGAGGTGCTGGAACTAGAGATTTCTTCAACACCAGAGGGATGGCGGGAGGCAGTAAATTCTACCTTCACTGAGATGGCTAAACAAAGGAAAACAATATTTGGACCACACACCTGTATCTGTTACTTCCTGTGTGATCATGGGTCATAGTCTTTGAGCTTCTGTTTCTTCTCAGTAAAATGAGCATAATAATAATAGCTACCCTCAGAGACTGTCATGAAGGTACTGAGAGATGAAGTGAAAGTGCTCTGCAAATTGTTATGTGCTACATGTTAATAATCTCCAAAGAACCACTTTAGTTAAATGTGGCCCAGAAATAGACAGAAAAAAATTAAGTCCCTAATTTAAGAACCTGGTTCATACAGATGAAACCCTCTTTATTCCTTTTCCACTGTTCAAACTAACTTCCTGCTTAATTCTGCCTTAACTTGCCTTCGCCTGCAGGACATTGTCCTTCTCTCTCCATGCCGTCTTTTTTACTCTATCCCCAGTGACAGAAAAGGACCACGTCTGTTCCATGACACTGTCAACTGGATATTGGAGTCACAGATCTGGGTTCAAGTCTAACTCTGCCATATCCTAGATGCATGACTTTGGACTGGCTACATAACCTGTCAGTGCCTCAGCTTCTTCGTCTTCTATTTCCTAGGTTTGTAATGAGGAATAGATGAGACCATATAACTGTTCCTTTCGATTTCAGTAATCTCCATCTCTACTCTTATTCAGCCTCCCACATGTTTAATCACACGTTTGATGACTTCTTCACTCAATCAAAGTTTCATTTTCAAGATTTAAAACTTGGAAATCCTCTTTTTCTGAGTATAACCTCTGGTTCTTTCAGTTCTCTTCCTTCCACCAAAGTCACTCTGTCTTCAGCTTGGCTTCTAGCTCCTCAAGCCATTCTCATTCTCCAAGACCACCTTGGTCTGGTCTCAGTCACCTCTCTGCAAAGCCAGAACCACATAGCTAGCCATGTCACTATGTTCTGACTGCCACCTTGCACTTACACACTGTCTTTCTCGGGATGACTTCCCAGCCGGGATAACCCTCAGCTTACTGTTTTAGCTTCCAAATGTCCAAGTTTTCAAGATAAAAAATCTTTTCCTCCTATGCTATGGGAGCACCTTCATCACCAGAAAGTCTGTCTGCCTCTCCCTGACTTCTTCTTGCCATGGCTGAGGAAGAATTGTCCTCTTCCTTGCCAACAGTCTCCTCTGACGGGCACCCTGGCTCCTACCCCAGAGCACCTCTGCCAGGCCTTGCTCCAACAATTATATCATTTGTCTCATCAGTTTTTCTTTCTATATCTCCTACCCCTCATCATATAACAAACTCAGAGCTCCTCCATTCTAAAACCACCTTCTCGGTCTTTCATTCCAGATATCACTCTATGCCTATCCATCCCAACATTAAACTTCTTCAAAGAATAGTCTACATGTGCTCCCCACCTACTCATCACCTACTCAGTTGTTAATCCCTTACAATACGACTTCCGCTTCCACTACTCTATTTGGTTGCCAACCTAACAACCACTAACAGTCTCCTAGCTGCCAAACTCAGATGGCAGTTATCATTTTTCATAGAGCACTTGGCACTTTGGCCTAGTTGTCTTTTTTATTATTTTATTTTATTTTATTTTGTGAGGAAGATCAGCCCTGAGCTAACATCCATGCTAATCCTCCCCTTTTTGCTGAGGAAGACTGGCTCTGAGCTAACATCTATTGCCAATCCTCCTTTTTTTCCCCAAAGCCCCAATAGATAGTTGTATGTCATAGTTGCACATCCTTCTAGTTGCTGTATGTGGGATGCGGCCTCAGCATGGCCGGAGAAGCGGTGCGTTGGTGCGCACCCGGGATCCGAACCCGGGCCGCCAGTAGCTGAGTGCGTGCACTTAACCGCTAAGCCACAGGGCCGGCCCTAGGTGTCTTTTTTAAAGCACTCTCCTTCCTTGATCTCCATTGCTACTTTATTATGGTTTTTCTTTTGTCTGTTTTATTCATTACTCATGATGTGCTTCCCTCAACACCACTCACACAGTGAGCACCTCTGTTCTCATGGTTTCAGCTGGGGGTTGGCAGACTTTTTCTTAAAGGTCAGAGAATAAATATTTTTGGCTTTGTGGGCCAAGAGGCAAATCAAAGCAATTATGTAAATACTTATATAAACATTTAATGTAAAAACTGTTTTTAGCTCACAAAAAGTACAAAACAGGTTGTGCGTTTGATTTGGTCTGTGGGCTATAGTTGACCCCTGGTTTCGACCACCACCTCTAAGCAGAAAACTCCGCAATTGATACCTCCAGCTCCCACCTCTCTGGAGAAAACTCTCCAGAATTCCAGACTTGTGCTTCCAATTGCCTACTGGACATCTATACTTTGCTATCCCATATACACCTCAAATTCAATGTGTTCAAAATAAAATTTATCTCCTTCCAAATCACTTCCTTTTTCTGAACAAATGAAAAAAATGAGAAGTTCAACAAAGCAATAGAAACCATTAAAAAAAAGCCCAGATATTGTAGAGTTGAAGATTACGACTAAACTGAAAAATTTAATAGACAGATTCAACAAAGGAGAAGAAAGAATTAGTGAACTAGATAGAAGACAAGTCATTGGAAATCATCCAGTCAGAGGGGCAAAAAGAAAAAAGAAGGAAAAAGAGTGAAGAAAGCCTATGTGAATTACAGGATAGCATTAAAACAAACAACCTGTGCATTATTGGAGTCCCAGAAGAAGAACAGATGGGAAAAGGGGAAAAAAGCTTATTTAAAGAAATAACAGCTGAGAACTTCCTAAATCTGGGGAGAGATTTGGATATCCAAGTTCATGAAGCTAACAGGTCACCCCAAATTTCAACCCAAACAATCTTCTCCAAGACACATTATAATAAAACTGTCTCAAATCAAAGAAAAAGAGAAAAATTTAAAAGCAGCAAGAGAAAAAAATTCCTCACATATAAGGGAACTCCAGTAAGGCTATCAGGGGATTTCTCAGCAGAAACCTTGCAGGCCAGGAGAGAATACAATGATATATTCAAAGAAGTGCTGAAAGAAAAAAAACTGCCAGCCAAGAATACTTTACCCAGCAAAGCTGTCTTTCAGAAATGAGGAGAGATGAAGACTTTGCCAAACAAACAAACAAACAAAAGCTGAAGGAGTTCATTACCACTAGACCTGCCTTTCAAGAAATGCTGAAAAGAGTTCTTCAAGCTGAAATGATAGGATGCTAATTAGTAACATGAAAACATAAGAAAATATATAACACACTGGTAAAGGTAAGTATACAGTCAAATTCAGAATACTCTGATACTCTAATAAGGTGGTGTGTTAATCACTTACCTGTAGTATAAAGGTTAAAGGACAAAAGTATTAAAAATAACTAGAACTATAATAATTTGTTAATTAATGGATACACAATATAAAAAGAGGTAAATTGTGACATAAAAATTATAAAAGGGAGGATAAAAGGGTGTAGCCTTTGTAAGCAATTGAAGATAAGTGGCTATCAGCATAAAATGGACAGTTTTATCTATGAGATGTTTTATGTAAGTCTCATGGTAGCCACAAAGCAAAAATCGAGAGTAGATTTACAAAAGACAGAAAAGGGGGAAACAGAGCACACCACTAAGGAAAATTACCATTTACAAAGGTAGGCAAAAGCAGAGGGAAAAAGAAATGATGGAAATACAAAACAACCAAAAAGCAATCAATAAGATGGCGTTAGTAAGCCCTTAAATATCAATAATTACTCTAAATTTAAACGGGCCAAATTCACCAATCAAAAGGGATAGACTGTCTGGATAGATAAAAAACCAAAACCCAACCATATGCTGCCTACAGGAGACTCACTTCAGCTTTAAGGACACACATAGGCTCAAACTGAAGGGACTGAAAAAGGTATTCCATGCAAATAGAAAACAAAAGAAAGTGGGGGTATCCATACTCATAGCAGACAAAATTGACTTTAAGCCAAAAATGACAATGAGAGGCAAAGAAAGTCATTATATAATGATAAAGGGGTCGATTCATCAAGATGATATAACAATTGTAAATGTATACGCACCCACCATAGGAGCACCTAAATACATTGAGCAAATACTAATAGATCTGAAGGGATAAACAGACAACAATATAATAATAGTAGGAGACTTCAATACCCCACTTTCAACATGGATAGATAATACAGAAAGAAAATCAACAAGGAAACGTTGGAATTGAAACATACTTTAGACCAAATGGACCTAACAGACATATTTAGAACATTCCATCCAATGGCAGCATACTACACATTCTTCTCAAGGGCACAAGGAATGTTGTCCAGGATAGATCATATGATAGGACACAAAACAAGTCTTAGCAAATTTAAGAAGACTGAAATCATACCAAGTACCTTTTCCAATTACAATGATATGAAACTAGAAATCAACTACAAGAAGAAAGCTGGAAAATCTACAAATACATGGAAACTAAACAACACTCCCCTGAACAACCAGTGAGTCAAAGAAGAAATCAAAAGGGAAATCAAAAAATATCTTGAAACAAATGAAAATGAAAACACAATATATCAAAAACTATGAGATGCTACAAAAGCAGTTCTGAGAGGGAACTTTATAGTGATAAACACATAAATTAAGAAATTAGAAAGATGTAAAAAAAAAAAACCCACCTAACTTTACACCTCAAAGAACTAGAAAAAGGAGAACAAATTAAGCCCAAAGTTAGCAGAAGGAAGGAAGTAATAAAGATCAGAGCAGAAATAAATGAAATGGAGACCAGAAAACTAGGAGTAAAGATCAACAAAATGAAGAGCTGTTTTTTCAAAAAGATAAACAAAATTGACAAACCTTTAGCTAGACTAAGAAAAAAAGATAAAGGACTCAAATAAATAAAATCAGAAATGAAAAGGAGACATTACAACTGATACTACAGAAATACATAGGATAATAAGAGAATACTATGAACAATTATATGCCAACAAATTGGAAAACCTAGAAGAAATGGATAAATTCTTAGAAACCCACAACCTACGAAGACTGAATCATGAAGAAAGAGAAAATCTGAATAGACCAGTAATGAGTAAAAGGATTGAATCAGTAATGAAAAACCTCCCAACACGGAAAGTCCCAGGATCAGACAGCTTCGCTGGCAAATTCTACAAAACATTTAGAGAAGAATTAATGCAAATCCTTCTCAAAGTGTTCCAAAAAATCGAAGAGGAGGAAACACTTCTAAACTCATTTTATGAGGTCAGCATTACTCTGATACCAAAGCCAAATAAGGACACTACAAGAAAAGAAAGCTATAGACCAATACTCCTGATGAATATGGATGCAAAAACTTTCAACAAAATATTAGCAAACCAAACTCAACAGCACATTAAAAGGATTATATACCATGGCCAAGTGGGATTTATCCCTGGGATGCAAGGATGGTTCAACATATGCAAATCAAAAAATGTGAAACACCACATTAATAGAATGAAAGATAAAGATCTCACCTATTGAGATCATATCAATAGATGCAGAAAAAGCATCTGACAAAATACAACATCCTTTCATGATAAAAACTCTCAACATATCTTAACATGATAAAGATCATGTATGCCAAACCCATGGCCAACATCATACTCAATGGTGAAAGGTTGAAAACTTTCCCTGTAAAATGAGGAACAAGACAAGTGTGCCCATTCTCAACACTCTTATTCAATATAGTACTGGAAGTCCTAGCCAGAGTAAGCAGGTAAGACAAAGAAATAAAAGGCATCCAAATAGGAAAGGAAGAAGTAAAACTGTCTTTGTTTGCAGCTAATATGATCTTATATATAGAAAATCCTAAAACACCAACAAAAAACTGTTGGAACTAATCAACAAATACAGTAAAGTTGCAGGATATAAAATCAACATACAGGAATCAGTTGCATTTCTATACGCTAATAATAAAACACCTGAAAAAGAAATAAAGAAAATTATCCCATTCACAATAACATCAGAAACAATAAAATACCTGAGAATAAATTTAACTAGGTAACTGAAAGATCTGTACAAGGAACACTACAAGACTTTGTTAGAAGAAAGGGAAGAAGACACAAACAAATGGAAAGAGATCCCATGTTCATGGATTGGAAGAATTAATATTGTTAAAATGTCCATACTATGCAAAGTAATCTATAGATTCAATACAATCTGTATCAAGATTCCAATAGTATTTTTCACAAAAGCGGAAAAAACAATCCTAAAATTTGTATGGAATCACCAAAGACCCCAAATTGCCAAAGCAATCATGAGAAAGAACAAAGCTTGAGGCATCACATTTCCTGATACCAAACTGTACTACAGAGCTATAGTAATGAAAACAGTATGGTACTAGCATAAAAATAGAGACATAGGCCAATGGAACAGGACAGAGAGCCCAGAATTAAACCCCAACATATGCAGTCAACCAATATTTGACAAGGGAGCCAAGAACACCCAATGGGGAAAAGATAGTCTCTTTAATAAATGGTGTAGGGAAAACCGGGTAAACACATGCAGAAAAAAGAAATTGGACCCCTATCTTACATCACTCACAAAAATTAACTTGAATTAAAGACTTAAACATAAGACCTGGATACCAATAAACTCCTGGAAGAAAACATAGGGAAGAAGCTCCTTGACATTGGTCTTGGCGACGATTTTTTGGATACAACACGAAAAGCACAAACAACAAAAGCAAAAACCAACAAGTGGGTTTACATCAAACTTAAAAGCTTCTGCACAGCAAAAGAAACAATCAACAAAATGAAAAGGCAACCTGCAGAATAGAAGAAAATATTTGCAAACCATATAAAGGGTAAAGGGTCAATATCCAAAATAGACAAGGAACTCATACAACTCAATATCAAAAAAACAAATAATCCAATTAAAAAATGGGCAGAGGAACTAAATAGACATTTTTCCAAAGAAGAAATCCAAATGGCCAACAGGTACACGAAAAGATGCTCAACATCACTATCAGGGATATGCAAATTAAAACCACAATGAGATATCATCTCATACTCATTAGAATGGCTATCATCAAGAAGACAGGAGATCAGTGTTGGTGAGGATGTGGAGAAAAGGGAACCCTTGTACACCGTTGGTGGGAATGTAAATTGGTTCAGCCACTATGGAAAACAGTATGGAGGTTCCTCAAAAAACTAAAACAAGAACGACCATATGATTCAGCAATCCCACTTCTGGGTATATATCCAAAGGAATTGAAATCAGGATTTTGAAAAGATATCTGCTCCCCCATGTTCATTGCTTCATTATTGACAATAGCCAAGACATGGAAGAAACCTAAAAGTCCATGGATAAATGAATGGATCATGAAAATGTGGTGTATATGAACAATGAAATATTATTCAGCCTTTAAAAACAAGGAAATCC